AATTCGTATGTTAAAGTGTATATTGAGTGAGGAAACTGTCGAGCTCGGCTGAGGAAAGCGAACATGTTTTCAGCACAGCTAGATGTGATGTAGATATATTTTCTCATCGTCGTTATCATTTATGGAAATATGCATGCTTTCTACGGTTTACCTTTCTCATCCCTCTCGTCGTCGTGAGGTTAGCGTCTGTGACACTGCAAGATCCTTTTAGTTCAACCCAGCTGAATACTTCGACACAGATGAGAGACTATTAGGAAGAGTTAGCAATAGGTTGACTAAGGAACAGTTGGCAAAAGGAGGTAGTTGGGAACGCTCATTGGCTTCGGTGGCTATGGTGTTTTTATCAGTGATGCCAGCGGCCGTCAGTGGAGCTTCTGAGGAGTACTCGTCCTTGTTGAGTCTGCAGAATAGGGCTGACAAGTTGAAGGAAGTTGAGGCGGAATTGGAACTCAGAAAAGAGGTCAGATGTGTTGGTGATAGTGAAGAAATTTTGCGAAAAATTTGCTGGTTTCCTTATACTTTTACCCGAATTTTGAGGAAATTCCTGAGCTCAGCTGAACTCCAACACTGTCGCGGCGTAGAGACGGCTGTAAATAGTAAATGTAAATATTTCGACAGGTCCGGGCTGAAAGGGGTCGCCGAAAGAAGATGGTTGATGGTGATGGAAAGGTGGTGTATAAGTTCAGACAAGAAAGGAAGCGCTGATGTGGCTACGTCCCTATCACTGTCTAATACGTTTCTCCCATTAGGAGGGTTGAGTTGGGGAAGGGGTAGGGTGGAGTTACTTGTAGTTGTAGTTGTTGATAGCATGCCTGTTACATTGCGCCGCTCGGACTGGGGCTTCTTTAGATGTGGGACGAGTATAAAGGTGGATGAGATGTCTGGATGCTTATCGAAGGTGGGATGTGGTGGGAAGGGCATAGACTGTATCGAAATGTTACCGTAAGATGAGGTTAGGGTGGAGGGAATCGACTTTTGTATTTAGCAATGGTACTAGAACCACCTCATTGTCAGGAGTGTATTTTCTCTTAGAGAACTTATCCACGTTACTATTGCACATAGTTTATCACGCGTGTTGTCGACAATGTGAAATAGATATTGGCAAACTCACGCCGGGTCTCATTGGTCTTTGTACACTTCTACCCGAATTCGTATTATGTGACCATCTATAATTAGTGGGTAAACTCGAAGGCTCAGCTGAAGAAAGCGAACGTACATTCCTTCAGCATTGACGTTTACCAAATAGTGTTATAAATACACTCCGTATTGTGACTGCTTTGAGATCAGCCATGGATCATTCCAGTACACTAACAGTTGGTCCCCGACTCCGCAGGGATGTGTAAAGCATAGTAACAATCAGGTATTGGTGTATAAACTCGATGGAGTTTCCGAAGATCGTAATGTTAATGTATACAAGCCGTTGGAAGGAGAAGAGAGGGTTATGCTGAAATGCCCTATGGCTAAGCGGATGTCTCCTAGTGAAGAGGTGGCACTACTCTTTTCATTGTCATGTAAAAATGTCTTTACCGGGGATAGAACCCTGGTGTTGGGCAGAGTAAAATATGGTCGAGCGCTCTACCAGTTAGACTATGGATGAGAATATTGTTAGGTTCTCACCCAGTATGTATTGGAATATCTTCCGAAGAAGGTTCGAAAGCAGCCGGCCCCATTCCGAATGATCGAGCTCGGAGCTGGCTTGGGGCTCGCTGGCCTCTCAGCAGCGGCTGCTATGCCCAACGGACTTGATATTTACCTCACTGACGGTGATGACAAGGTGAAGGGACAATCGCTGTACACTTTTGACAATCTCGCTACGCCCTGGTGATCGATTTGCGGCTCCCATTTTTTTGCTGGCTGCATGCTGACTGTAGCACAAGTGACTTTTTGTGGCGTATGTGATACCATTTGGATTGCTAGGTTGTGAGAAGCTTGGAAAGGAACGTTACGAGGAATCGGCATTTGACGATACCTCCTGCTACGACGAGTGTCCGCGCCGAGGTTCTCCAGTGGGGATCCGAGTTCGATCCCCGGTACCGGCACTTTTTCCACCTTATTATCTGTGCTGATGTGGTTTATAGTCGGGAAACGCATTATGCACTTTTAGAGACGATCAAGAGGTTATTGCTGCCTGGTGGTGAATGTTGGCTATTCGCTTCGAAACGTGCGGGGTCTTTGGGGGACTTCGTGGCACTTGCTCGGAGTAGCGCTGAATTTGAAGCAGTTGAGGTGGCGGTTGACTGCCTTCCTACGAGCTCCGCTTTCAAGGAGCTCAGAGCGATGAATTGTTCCCCTGTGATGGTGAGGATAACAGTGTGTTGTCGTGATGAGGGTAGATCGAGTAACATGTACGACGAGTTAGTAGCATTGAGATCTAAAAATCTTGCGGCTGCGCGCGCCAAAGATACCCTACGGCACAGGCGTGCGTCACAAATGCGCAATTTACTCGCTTCACGATCGCGTGCTCGGTTGTTGGAGCGTGGAGCTAGAGAGGAGGATACCTCCAGTGCTAATAAAGTGGCCTTTAAGAGTATTGATGTCAACAGGCATTTAGTGAAGGTTCTGTCAGTGCCCGACTTGACTGTTTCTGTATCGTGGCCGAGTCACCTGTCGGGTCTCAGCAAGACGGAGCGTGACCTCATCGACTGGTTGCAGCTACATCATGGGTTATGTTGTGGTAAA